CACACAGACAAGCATGCACACACAAACATGCATGCACAGATGCAGGTACACACACACACATACACACACACACACACACACACACACACACACACACACACACAGACACACACACACACACACAGACAGACACAGACACACAGACACACACTGTAAATGACACTCAGAGAAACAGATGAAACTCACAGCCTCTTTGAACAGCACAAACACATTTAAAAAGAAAGATGAGGTTAAAGTGAGTGTGTGAGTGTGTGTGTGTGTGTGTGTGTGTGTGTGTGTTTTAGTCGCTCATATCTCTGCTTCATCAATCAGCATCACTCCACTCATCCATTCATTCATCCAGACATAATAAACACATCACAACACTACTGTAGAAGTTAACCACAGTCATTTACCACACATCCATTCATCTGAGTAAATGAACACATCACATTATATATGCGTTACTTAGAGTTTACTACATCCACAATATATCGACTCCTGCATTCCCTCTCTCAGATTAGACAAGTTTATTTATTTTATAATTGGCTTTGTAAGTGATTTATTTTTGTCACTTGTGTGATTTTCAGTACAATAATCCATTAATGTATTGTACACTCACTGGCCACTTTATTAGGTACATCTTACTAGTACCAGGTTGGACCCCTTTTGCCTCCAGAACTGCCTTAATACTTCATGGCAGAGATTCAACAAGCTACTGGAAATATTCCTCAGAGATTTTACTCCATATTGTCATGATAGCATCACACAGTTGCTGCAGATTTGTCGGCTGCACATCCATGATGCCAATCTCCCGTTCCACCACATCCCAAAGCTGCTCTATTGGATTGAGCTCTGGTGACTGTGGAGGTCATTTGAGTACAGTGAACTCATCGTCATGTTCAAGAAACCAGTCTGAGATGATTGAGCTTTATGACATGCTGCGTTATCCTGCTGGAAGTAGCCATCAGAAGATGGAGACACTGTGCTCATAAAGGGATGGACATGGTCAGCAGCAATACTCAGGTAGGCTGTGGCGTTGATGCTCAATTGGTACTAATGGACCCAAAAATCTCCCCCACACCATTACACCACCACCACCAGCCTGAACCGCTGATACAAGGCAGGATGATCCATGCTTTCATGTTGTCTGAGCCGAGCATCTGAATGTGTCAGCAGAAATGGAGACTCATCAGAGCAGCAACGTTTCTCCAATCTTCTATTGTCCAGTTTTGGTGAGTCTGTGTGAATTGTAGCCTCAGTTTCCTGTTCTTAGCTGACAGGAGCGGCACCCGGTGTGCTCTTCTGCTGCTGTAGCCCATCACTTAAAGTCTCTTAAATCCCCTTTATTCTCCATTCTGATGCTCGCTTTGAACTGCAGCAGATCGTCTTGACCATGTCTACATGCCGAAATGCAGTGAGCTGCAGCCATGTGATTGGCTCATTAGACATTTGCATTAACAAGCAATTAGACAGGTGTACCTAATAAAGTGGCCGGTGAGTGTATATTTGCCATTTTATTTTCAGATGTAAAGCACTTTGAGATAAAATGTGCTTCAGAAAATATAGTTTATTATTATTATTACTAACATTATTATTATTGTGTTAACGGGACAACCTATAAACATCATTGGGGAAAGCCCCACTCACTAGTGCCCATTTCTCCATCTCATTAGCACAAACAGCAGCCCTGAGTGAGAAGCAGCCGTCTGTCCATTAGCCATTAGAGTGTTTGAGCTGCTGAAGATAATGTCAGCATAGACTAAGAGGATTATAGATGTGGAGTTTCAGATGAACAGCGACAGGAGCAACATAGACTGACAGAAGCATCAACATACACTCACACTGAAGCACACATGCACACCTGACCAGCACTCACAACACACACACTGCTGTTTGACATCTGTCACTATGCTGATGCATATGCATTTGTAGCTCCGCACTCTTCTGAAAAGAGCACAATCTCATTTGCATTTAAAGCGACAGTCACCAAAGGCCACAATTAGGATCAAAGCCTGAAAGGGTCAGTTTCAGAGAGCTGGAGGACACTATCTGTGAGCTGTTTTGAGCTCAAACTTTACTACACACTCTAGAGACTCATTGTAGATGTAATACCAGCTCATCATATGAGCCATGATCATTAATACAGAAATCATGTCTTTTAGCATGTTCCTCTGCTAGTTTAATAAGCCAGAGGTTATGAGCTGCCGCTGCTGCTGTGTGTGTGTTCTGATCACCTCAGAGGCGATGAGCTCCAGTCCTCGACACTGTCTGTCCTTCTCCTTCAGCAGCAGATCCCACATTTCTGGGTCATCCTGAGACAGACTCTCCTGCCCCGTCCAGGAGCCATCGGCGCGCACACACACCGCTGCGGAGGAGCGCTGGACACGCCGGCACAGGGGCTGAACAAACAAACAAAAAACACACACACACATACAGAGAGAGAGAGAGAGATAATCCACATTAACTCAAGCCTGAACTCCAGAATAAACAAACTGCACAAAACAAACACTCAAGATCAACCCGCAGAGCCTCAGGAGTGAGCAGAGTTATTAAGACTTGGTTTCACACACACTCTCTCTCTCTCACACACACGCACGCACACACACATACAATTTCATAGATATGCATATGCTCGTACTCACACACGCACACACACAAAACAAATACATGCTCACACAGACACACGCATGCACACACAACAAACAAATGGATGCTCACAAAGACACACACACTCACACACACACAGAAGCACACACACATGCACACACACAAAACAAATACATGCCCACACAGACAAACACACACACACACACACACACACACACACAAATGTACACACAAACAAATGCACACTCACACATACACACACACACGCATGCATGCACACACGCATGCACACACGCAAGCGCACACAGATACACACACACACACACGAATTCACAATCTCACAGATACTCATACACACAGATAAACTCACATGCACATACACACACACACACACACACGCACGCACACGCACATGCACACACACACACACAGACACAGACACAGACACACACAATCTCACAGATACACATATGCACATAGATGAACTCACACACACACACGCACGCACACACACACTCCAAACAAATGCATGCTCACACAGACACACATGTACACACACACACGCACACACAAAGGCATGCCCACACAGACACACACACACACACACACACACACACACACACACACACACACACACACAGACATACACACAGACATACACACACACACACACACACACACACACACACACACACACACACACACACACACACACACACACACACACACACACACACACACACACACACACACACACACACACACACACACACACACACACACACACACACACACACACACACATCTGTGTCCCTGAAGCAGCGACAGCTAAGGACAAGACTCATCAGAGTTTACGGACCTGTGTGTGTGTGTGTGTGTGTGTGGCAGTCGCGCTGACAGAAGTCAGGCACTCTGTCCATTACTCCGCACATTTAATTTTCAGCATTTGGCAGATGTTTTCATTCCACACCCCTCACGCTGACGATGAAGACGACATTAACATGCAGATCATACATATGAATGTCATACTGGCAGCACTAAACCAACTGCACAAAAACTGTGTGTGTGTGTGTGTGTGTGTGTGTGTGTTTTTGTTTGTGAGTGTATGTGTTTCCATGCGTGTATCCATGTGTCTTTGTGATTGTGTTTATGAGTGTGTATGTGTCTATATTCATTTGTCTGTGTGTGCATATCTATGTTTGTGTGTGTTAATGTATGTGTGTGTATCTGTCTGTGTGTCTGTCTGTGTGTGTGTGTTCAGTCCGAGGGGCTGATGGGAAATAAAGGTCTCTCTGTATGATCAACAGTTTCCTTGAGTCCGTCTCTCAAATGAACGCACCGCCGTCGCTCTGCTAATTGTTTTTTAATAACAGATTTTAAGTGCAGCTATTCTTCAGGCTCCTGGTGCGACGAGAGCCTCGATTAGCATTATTAGCTTTATTAGTGTTAATTATGAAGCTTTCGGTTCAGGAGCGTTTCTCCACATTCAGCATTTCTGGGCAGAAATAATGCGCACAAACACGCTCGGAGGTCACGGTGAAAAAAATGTGATGTTATTAGTTTTGCAGAAATATGTTAGGTTATTAGTATTATGAAAATGTGATGTTAGAATTGCGAAAAATTTGCAATGTTATTAGTGTTGCGTTGTTATTACATGTTATTATTAGTGCTAGCATATCTGATGCTATTGCTATTACAAACACAGTACTGTGCCAATGTGTGATGTTATTGACATTGGGAAAATATGTGATGTTATTAGTATTGCGAAAAATTATGTTATTAATATTGCGAAATTTTGCAATGTTGTTAGTATTTCGAAAATTTGCAATGTTATTAGTGTTGCATTGTTATTAGTATTGCATAAACATGATTGCGAACATGTGATAATATTGCTATTGCGAGCTTGATATAAGTATTGCGTAAAAATGTGTGAAGTTATTGGCATTGCGTAAATGTGACGTTAGTATTATGAAAACGTGATGTGATTAACATTGCAAAAATTCGCAATGTTATTAGAATTGCTACATTGTTAGTACAGCAAAACCATGATGTTATTTAATTTACAAACATGTTATGAATATTGCGAAAATATGCGATGTTAGTATTGCAAAAATTGGCTATTTTATTAGTGTTGCGTTGTTTTTAGATGTTATTATTAGTGGCAGCATATCTGATGTTATTGCTATTACAAACACAGTATTGCGACAATGTGTGATGTTACAGGTATTGTGAAAATATGTGATGTTATTAGTATTGAGAAACAGGATGTTATTAATATTGTGAAATTTAGCAATATTGTTGGTATTGTTAAAATTCGCTATGTTGTTAGTATTGCAATAATTTGCAATGTAATTAGTATTGCAAAAAATTGCAAAGTTACTATAATTGCGAAAATTTACAATGTTATTACAATTGCGAAAATTTGCAATGTTATTAAAATTGTGGAAATTTTGCAATGTTATTAGTGTTGCATTGTTATTAGTATTGCAAAAAGATTATTATTGCGAACGTGAAGTTATTTCTAATTGCGAACATATGTGATATTAGTATTGCGTAAAAATGTGTAATGTTATTGGCATTGTGAAAAAATGTGACGTTATTGGTATTATGCACATTTATAATGCTATTGGCATTGCAAAAACGTGATGTTAGTATTGTGAAAACGTAATTTTATTAGTATTGTGAACGTGATTTAAAAAGTATTGCGAACGTGATGTTATTAGTGTTGCAGAAATATGTGGTTATTAATATTATGAAAATATGACGTTATTAGAATTGCGAAAATGTGCAATGTTATTGGAAATGCAATATTGTTAGCACAGCAAAAACAATGTTTTTATATTGTGAAAATGTAATTAATATTGCAATGTTAAAGTATTGCATAAATTTGCAATGTAATTAGTAATGCAAGTATTCGCAATGTTATTAGCGTTGCGCTGTTATTAGATGTTATTATTTAGTGCTAGCATTTTTTATGTTATTGCTATTACACAGTATTACGAAAATGTGTGATTTTATTGACATTGCGAAAATGTATGTTAGTGGCACTGGGAAAATATGTTATGTTATTAGTATTGCGAAAACATGAGGTTATTGATACTACGAAAACTGGCAATGTTATTAGTGTTGCAAAAATATTATTGTGAACATGTGATGTTATTGCTATTCCGAACATATGTTATATAAGCATTGCGTAAAAATGTGTGATGTTACTGGCATTGTGAAAATATGTGATGTTATTGGTATTGCAAACATATGTAATGTTATTGGCATTGCAAAAATGTGATGTTTGTATTGTGAAAACGTGATGTTATTAGTATTGCGAACATGTAAGGCCATTAGTATTGTGAACATATGCAATGTTATTGCGAAAATATGTTATTAGTATCAAAGTTATTAGTATCGCAAAAATGTGCAATCTTATTAGTATTGCTAAAATTTGCGATTTTATGAGTATTTCAAACGTAATGTTATTGCTATTGTGAACATATGTGAATGTTATATTGCAAACGTGATGTTATTTGTATTGGAAAAATGTGTGATGTTACTGGTATTGCCAACAAATGTATTGTTTTTGGCATTGCACGTATATTTGATGTTATTATTGTGAAAATGTTATGTTATTAGCATCACAAACATATGTGATGTTATTAGTATTGTGAAAATGTGATGAATGTGACTGTCAAATTTGCGTAAACAACAACGCATGCAAAACAAATGCACATGAAATAGATTATTTATCACAACTCTCTGAGAAAATAAGAACGCATATACTGTTATTGCAATAAATTATGTTATTGTGTGTCCCTGATGGAGTTAAGCAGGATGATGTTCATGATCGATAATAATGCAGATAACACACTGCACACACTGATGCGGTACTTCAAAGAATACTACGGTATAATCGTGGTGCATTTACTAACTCTTGCAGTGTTCTGGAGGAAGGAGAATGTGCGAGTTCACAAAGTCAAAACAGCTGAAATTTGTTAAGAACGAACCACTGAAGAAAGAAATGACACTCAGAAACGTGTGTGTGTGTGTGTGTGTGTGAGAGAGAGAGAGAGAGAGAGAGAGAGAGAGAGAGTGTGAGATTAGATAAGCCGTTATGCTGAATTTTCACTCGGCTGTAAAGTTTCTGTTCAGAGTTGCTGATTGGTGCAGAATTAAAGCGTCATGCTGATTATTATATCTCACCAACGGCTCTACACACAGACACACACACACACACACACACACACACACACACACACACACACACACACACACACACACCCTCTCTCTCTCTATCTCACACACACATGCGCACACACACTCTCTCTTGTACTCCCACTGTCACACATAGGCACGCACATGCACACACAAACCCACACACACTCTCTCTCTCTGTCACACACACACACAAACCCACACCCTCTCTTTCACTCTCTCACACACACACACACACACACACACACACACACACACACACACACACACACACACACACACACACACACACACACACACACACACACACACACACACACACACACACACACACACACACACACACACACACGTGCTCATGCATGCACACACTCACTCTCTAACATACATATGCGCATGTACACAGATATATACTCTCTTTCTGTTACACGTGCATGCACACACACACACACACACACACTCGCACATTCAGACTTTCTCGTTCTGTCTGATACACACACAAATCACACAGACACACACACTCACTTTTTCACTGTCTCACTCTCTCTCTATATATATCCATCACGCACACACGCACACACGCACA